ATTACGTAGACTATTCTTAGAGACGGGCACAACAATAGCTTCATTGCAGAGTGATGGAACACACTCAGTCTACCATACCTTCTTAAACAGCCTAGTCAGTTTCCTGACTAGAGTTGTTCCTCCATCCTTAAAGAGAACCGGGGATTAGTTGTCTGGCCCGGGTGCCTTGTGGAATTTCAGAACTTGGAGTTCCTTATGGAGCCCTGCTTCTTTAGGTGGGTCGGTGTTAACCGAGCGTGGAGCACGGTACACTGATACTGAGGATACTGGAACAATGAGCCAGCTAAACAGCTTCTCGAAATGCTCCGCCCAATATCCCAGGCATCCTTGAAGATTGCTTATCGGCATGCAATCTACCTCATAGACCATCTCACTGACACCAGGTTTCTTGCTGCCAGTGGCTCGGTAAGCTAGAACAGCTTCTGACTATTTTCCGATGCAACTGCTGCTTCCTTCTCACTTGCGTATTTTGACCGCCAAACCTCATGGTCCTTGCGCAAGCGTTGTGTAATCTTTTGGATGGAAGACATGAACCATTGTATTCGCTTCCCGCCGAAATGGTCGGATGGGCATCATGAAGTTGCACGGACCTCTCAGAGACCCAATGTTTATTAGCGGGACATTTTTCCAAGCATCAAGCAGCTATGCTCACGATTTTCATGGCATCTTGCAGGTGCAGACAATGCTCACCTACACTTTCTGAAGGTCGGTAGCCAGCCTTAAATCTAGCACGGATCAGTATTTAGCTGCACCGTTAGGTGCAAGTAACTTGCTGGTATCAACTTGTTTAGAACGATCATTTTGACGACCACTAAAAAGGAAGACGAGATAAGCACACACTTAAGCATGATCAGAGTATTTTATATGGAGCGGCATCTCTCTATGCACCCACACCATCACAAGCTGATTGCAATATGATCTAGTTGAGTCCAGGGTTGAGTGGGAGATGAAGGATGCCAAGTAGCACAACGAGCTAGGCTGGGCCGGAAGTTGGTTCTAGCTAGAAATAGGTTGTGGTATCCGCTAAGCTGCATAAATCGATCCCCATTATCCGACGTGCGGCTAACTATTTCCCATTGGCCATCTAAGCAACTCTTCTCTTGGCCTAGATGTCTGACCTGAAAATTTGATCCCTCAGATAGCACTAAGACATCTGTCGAGTGCACTTAGTTGAGAAAGTCACTCGGTTGATGATAGAATTCATCCTTGGTTGTATTCGGTCTGCAATCCATCGGAGACAGAGAGAGATAATAAAGAAACACCGTTTCTCTTCCCGGTTACTTCTTGCTTGAGTTGAACTGTCTAGCCTAAAACCCGAAAAATGACTGTTGATGGGAATCTAGTCGAGTAGTTCAGCTTCGGCTCGAGCGAAAAGGGCAACACCGGCACCAGCAAGGCCGGTTGCCGATGCCACAAGGTCTCCGAGTAAGTGCACGTGAGACGCATTTTGACCTGACAGATGGAGGACTAATCCGAAGCATTTCACTGGAATCCTGTACGTGGGTCTTTGAGATGCAGCATACACCAACACTAAGACTTTCCAGAGTCCTAGCTAAACCTGCCTAGTTTCCGATCTGCATCAAGTTGCGAAGCTTGAAATTGGTGAGCTTAAACGGTATGCCTTGCTTCAGGATAGCTATGTCAGATGTTGGACTGGAGGACCGCTTTATAGGGGCAAGTGTTAAGTGACTCAAAACGGTGTACATTCCACAAGTCTAGGAAATGAAAAGCAGGTTAGTGAAGTGAAGATAAAGCCAAAAGCGAAAATGGTAATGATAAAAAAAAATACAGTTCATATGCAAAAACAACAACAGCAGTATAATAGCAATGAATTTAGTAATCGGTTAAGTGTTTTGTAGTGCGAAGAGCTTGGATATTCGCAGGGAAGTTAGTTAGTAGTTTCACAATCTTCATTTTATATTGTAAATTCATATGTTGTGTGAGGGCCCGGATATTGGTCAGGTGGTTATCTTAGGGGACCACTCTACGAGCTTTTGACTTAAAGTCTAATCCACAAGGCAGTGTACTAACATCAGAAGCTGGATTCCTATAGTTACAGATTACCAAAATAGGTCTGTGCACCATTCATTCCATCTGGAAACTGATTTGGGATCAGGGTTTCCCAACTTCCCTATGTAACTCTCAGTACCTACCAATCCGGTGATAAGCGCCGGACACTCGCTTGTGCCCTTTCACATCTGTGTAAACACCATCGCCAAGTAAAGGTAGTGAATAGGACTTCTTTTCTAGAGGCTGTAAATGCATACTAAAGCATTTGGAGGCCACAAAATATAACTTGTCAACCTGTTAGTGTATCCAATGAAATCTTCAAAGCTGATAGTCACATTCTGGGCATCTTGCTTACATTACTAAGGCAGGTAGTATAAGACTTAGGTACAAATCAGTTCTCAAGTTGTTTCAGATATATCTGGATGAAAGGTAGTGAGTAACCTGGGACATATACCCAGAGATATCTCTCACTTGCTTCAATAATCCAGCATTATTGAAGGTGGTTATCAAACATTACAAAACAATCAAGCTTCATTCGATTATCTTTATATTTATGGATACTATGTCAGTAAAAGCATTCTCAAATTGACCATTAGCACTTTTCCTGCTCCAGGAAAGAGACGAGTGGTAGCTGAGCAATAATGAATTAGCGTCCGTTATATTTAAATGCTTTTAACCAGCTATCTAGCCAGGGTGCTTAAGTCTGTTGATAGGATATAGAAACCCCAAATACGAGATTTACTGCTAAGTTTCACCTTTCCAGAGATGCAAAATGTAACTACCGTTCCCACCATTAAAAGTCACAGATTTGAATATCCATTGTTCAAATATAAATGATTCCAATAAACCCTAAGAAGAATCTTAAATTACATTGGTCGAAGGGAAAAACTACTAAATTAAGTAGTATCGAAAAATATAGCTGTGCATAAACATTTCTTATTTTCTAGTAAAATCTTGCTCTCTTAAATTGCAGATATAATATTTCTTACGTATACACATCAAGGTAGAAAATGTTAATTTGGCTTATCCATACTATTACTGTTAATTGATGCACCCCGTCCGCTATAGTGCAAATGTATCGAGGTTAGAGTGATATCGTTCACCATGTTTCAAATATTCTTGTTTATGGTACACTTTTGTTGAACATTTAATAGAAATTAAATTTTTTCTTGTTTCTCATTGTTTGTTACTTGATATTTAAAACAATTCATGGTGATACATTCTGATAGCCAGTTATCACTAATTTCGTTATGTAACCTGTCAATAGCTTCAAGGGGTTGTACAGTGATCGTATTGATCAGCTAAAATGTTTTTATTCACTAAAACCGTATCACTGTGAAGGTAGTGGCAAATGGGAACAGATTTTCAACTTATGTAGCATTAATATAATGGAAAGATATTTTGTCCAACACCAACGTGTTTTCCAAAATAACTTTTTGAATGGGCTCAGATAACTTCCAATTTTTAACTAGTTATTCATTTTATTTAAACTTAGTATCATAATTTTCCGAAAAAATACCTGTCAGTTCTAGTTAATATTGAAGAGTATTGTCAACTGAAACTTTGCTTGAATAAATTATTATACACTTCCATTGTATGACAAGTAACAAATTTACGCAATTCAGTAGTTAATGCACAAACAATGAGATATTATTAGGGATATAGTTGGAAGATATTGACAATTGAAGAAGAAATAAAGCATTAGTCAAAAAAAAATATACAAAATTTGCACTTTGTGTTTGAATTGTTGTTGACCTAACAATACCCGATACGTCAAAAACTAAGGACTAATGGTGTTATCAGGATAATTCTTATAGAGTCCGCTGAAGTGTACACTAACATAGAAATAGTACACACTAGTAACAATGATCTTGACTAATCTAATCAAAACTCAATTACTAGGTTTGGTTTTAATTTAGAAAAAAAGTGAGGAGCTGAAAAAACGCAAAATTTCTCCATAAGTAATGTTATTCAGATAAAACTATTTAAAAGGTATAGTTCAGTTGTTCTACAGCGCCAACAACACTAAAATATCGAACTAAAGATAGCAAACTATCTACAGTGATCACTGCCTACAGTAAAGAACTATTATTTAGAGTGTGTTACATGGATAAAAAATGCAGTTATTTTCCCTGTATGATTTTTGGTAAAAACTAGATTTACAGCTGGTTGGAATGAAATGAAAGCGATTTGATCTAAATCGGCACAGGATTGAAAAAAGAAGTTCCCGAACTAGTTAGCTTATTATCTCGATGCTTCATAAAAGAAGTCTTTGCAAATGATATATTGTCGATCTGTGGAACTTGTTTACAGTTTACTATCAATGAAATATTGACATTGACAGATAACTTAGTACCAGCGAAGCCAGAGTAATTAAAACTGGGTCTTTTTTAGCAGATTGATATCTACAGTAATCAAATGATATCTGTAAATCGGATAGTTTTAAGGTTTTGAAATTCATTGATAAGAATTCCCTAGCTTTGACTTCATGCTTGTCGTGAATCATTGAACATTTTATGTAAAAATTACAACTACTGGGACAATAACAAAATAAGTTTGAAGCTTCGACCTATAACGAAAAAAATCAAACAATGTTGATGCTAACAGCATCATGAAAATCATTTATAGACCTGATCGTTACATGACGTCTCAATTGTAGTTCAACCAGTATGACGATACTTCAAAAGTTACACTGTAAAGCAATTTACTACATAATAAAAATGGGTAATGAAGCTAAGTTACAGAGTGTGGGATCAGTGTTCAAAGGATATGTTGACGGCTTTACACGATACTGATCAGAAATGGACGTCTGGGTAAATTAATAATGAGGTACATCACTATAAGCACGGAATGAGAATATTTCAACTCCAAACAGAAGCCAGCATATATGCAGGTGTAATTTAGAGACTATGTAGCTAATAAAACATCAATTCATAGTTATATAGATTACAATAACTACATAGTCTTGGAAACTGAAAAAAAAACGGTTTTTCACATAATCTCTACTTTTATTTATTAATTTGCTGCAATGGTGCTATCTGTTTTTCCATACCATTGAACAACTCCGAATGAGAATAAGTAAAGATGTAGTTAAGCCTAGGCAGCCTAAATCATGAGGTGAATGCTATCCAATGATACATTATCTTCTGTACGATATGTTCCGGGTTATTTAATTTACAGTAGCTATGCCGATTCAGATTAGACCATCCCAATTATATATTTATCTTATATTGAGAAGACTTGAAAACCGTCGTTTATTATGGTGATAAAACCGATAATTTGGATCCTTTAGGTAGACGATATATTTTCCCATCAAAAAAGATGAATTGAAAAGCACTCAGAACTTGATCAACAACGTTTTCATCAACATAAAAATCACAATTGATGGTAGATATTAGAAAGATATGTGACTCTTGTGAGCAACTACAAGGTAAGGTAGAGAAACGGTCAGTAAAAAAATTTGAGCAGCCGAAGACACAACAGTTCAAGAAAACTACCAATCATTCACCGCTTCATCAGTATAGATTATTCAATCACTTATGGAGAAATCCTGATAGCTCAATTCATAGTGAAGTTAGTTCTCATGATGTCTGAAAAGAGTATAGAACTTAACAATTAAAACATCTAAATCATAGAACGTAATACAACCAAAAGGTTTCGAACTACTTCATAATTGAGAGAAACAAAGGATAAAGTGTATAATTTAAAAATTTCTACGTAAAAACAATTCGTTTAATACTAAAATGTGTTGGAAAAAAACGTCAAAAAATAAAACAGTACTACAAAATTCAGAATAGTCAAAGTTATAGACTGATGCAATCAAAACGAAATACTGGTATGACATGAAAAAGTTAAATAAGCAGTTCACTCTTAGACTGAAAATTATTCACATTCATAAAAAAGAATGCGTGACTACTCAAAAATATAAAGAAATTGATATAAGTAAATAGTAAAGCTGCCGTAGATTCGTCCTCAAAAACGTATAAAAACTATGAAAAGTTATAATAGTTCGGATGAGCAAAATTTGTGGAAATATCTGGGTAGTTATAAGGAAATTAATCAGGAGGTAATAAAGTGAAGTATGAAAGTATAGTCCACTGAATGGAAGAACATGTATATAATTGCATTAATGTTGTTTTTAGAATAAAAAACTGTGTTTAGTTAAAGACTGACTTCTTCATTATCACCATCAGAATCATCCGTAGAAGTTGAGCTGAAATCACAATCCGTTTTATCAGCCGGTACACTTCTAAGGTTAGGTTTGGTAGGAGGCATTTTAATGACACTAGACTCGTCAGTCGATAAGTTTTCCACCTGTCTTATGTTCATTTCATCTTCACTGGTGTTATTTTCTGAAGCCTCTTTGTCACCAACCTTGATTCAAAGGTAGTATATCAGATACATTTAAAAAAACTTCAGCAGCAGGAAATACAACATTACAATGAAACCCATTACGCAACGAGAAAAAAACTGCGCTATGCAAAGAGTATAAAAACAATTCAATGTCACTTTTCAATGATCAGACGTTCATTTGTAAATTGAGAAAAATGTTAATCACTCAGTGTGAAGTTTTAAGGCGAGTATCAGGTGGTACAATTCAACTATCAAAAGTTGGATAACTCCAGTTCTAATAACTAATTTGATGGATTAGAAATTTTTAATACTTGTCATTTCATCCCTTATCATTTTCATCAATAGACTTTAATTGTCTTAGTTGTTATGATATGTACTACTTTTATTAAAAGGTATCCCATAATGTCTGTAGTCAGTAAATGTTGTCAAGACGGTGATGAAATACTATGGTGACACTGTATTCTGTGAAAATTGTTATTTTGGCTTCAATAAAATTCGTAAAGGGAATTAATTGTTTAAAAACTTGATGATGGTTAGATCCTCCTTGTTAAAGAATTCAGCAGGATCCATAAAACAATGTTTTTAGTCCTTATTTTTCCCTGTTGGTAATGTAGTGTTATACTTTTCTTCATACCATTTTACAGTCATCAGGTAGAAATAAACTAAACGTTTTGAATATTTTAAAAATATCTGAACTCAGCATATTGATATTGAGCCCAACCTATAGCTGCTATCTTGACATGGTGGTCGGGCTTGCATATCACAATGACCCAACGAGCTATGCTTAGTGGAACACTTGTTCCCTCGAGGTCCTACCATAAGAGAAAGGTCTGTTGGATAGTGTTTAGACGAAAGGCAGTTGCCGTTGAGGTGTAAATTACTACACTATGATGGGGGTCTGAGGGCGAAGTCGTACTGCTGCTAGCTGGATGGGGTGTGACAGCAGTGCTATGCTGATGCTGCCTTCTCAGTGGAAGGGGGGTTAGAAAAGGTCAGCCCCAAAAATAACACACTCCACCATGCCCCATGGTCTGCCAAGCCGGCAGTGTTGGTTCATTTGTCGTTTATTTTCGACCATCCGGCCCCAAAATACAAAAGTTCAAAATAATCATACTCAAAAGGCTGCATGTGACAGGCCTCAAGCAGATGTCCAATAGGCTCTGCGGTCACACAAATCTCCTTCAGATACCTTAAGAAGAAGTAGCCTTCCACGGTGTGGGCAGCCGGGAAGTGTCAACCGCCCTCACAACTCGATTAGCACTCAAGCTTCCTCAGACTGCTATCCACCTTCCCCATCATTACCTCCTACCCTTCCTTCACGTCTCTCAACTAACGACACTACATCACCTTCAATTTCTCATAACTCTGCAACCTTCGACAACGATCTGAGTCCACAGAACAGCATCCCTAGTCTCTTTAAACCACTCTCCAAATTACATATTGGAGCCTTCAATGTCCGCACCCTCCGTCAAATTGGTCAACAGGCTTCGTTAGCAAAGACTCTAGCAACTCGGGGCATGGATGTGTGCTGTGTTTGTGAGACACGCATACAGGACCCAAGTGTGGTTATTCACCTGACCTCTCCTGACCAATCTGGTGAATCCGCAAAATTCACCCTTCGAGTTTCTGGAGATTCGATAGCTAGCTCTCGCGGTCTTGCAGGTGTAGGCATAGCACTAAGCACTAGGGCAGAAAACTCACTACTAGACTGGATTCCAATTGATAGTCGCCTCTGCGCTATGGGGCTGAACGGCACAGTGAGAACTAAAAGGAATAGTGAGACTCGCCAGCACCAATTTCAGACATAAAGAAAGGCACTGTCTGACCTGGCGTCCACCGAGCTCGACTCAGCGATGGACACAGATAGACCACATTGCTATTAGTCATCGCTGGAGAGGATCGGTGGAAGACTGCCGCTCCTTCTGGAGTACGTGTTTGGACAGCGATCATGCGTTGGTCCGAGCACGTATATGCCTGCGTCTCAATGGACGTAGAAAAAATTTGGCAACAAAACCACTACGAGTTCTGCTGGACAACGAAAACACCAAAGCCGTGTTCAGTGAGAAGTTGGCTAGGCAGTTATCGGAACAAAAGAAGAAGCTTGGTGCCATCTTCAGTCTACTGTAAAAGCAGCACTGGAGACTGTAGCCGACTCCAAGATAATGGCTAAAAAGAGCCAGTGGATATCAGCAGCTTCTTCCAAACTAATGGATGCACGTGAATGCATCCCTGCAGGCTCTGAGTACAATGAAGAGCGAGCGCAACTTAAAAATAACTGACGAAAAGTCTGCGCAACGATCGTGAACAGTGGTGGGCAGCAAAGGCTAAAGAGATGGAAAAGGCAGCGGCGATCGGTAACAGTAGACAGTTATTTAGACTTATTAAGGAGACTGGGGGGAAATGGTCAACAACAGTTAGTGAGGTTATAGCGGAGAAGGACGGATCTGCGATTCACTCGCAGGGAAGGCGACTGGGACGATGGGCAGAACACTTCAAGGAACAGTTTAACTGGCCTCCAGCCACCATTGCGCTGCCCGCTATCCAGTCGGACCCTGAATGGGACATAGAGACAGGCCCCCAACACTAGAAGAAGTTGAGAAAGCGGTAGGTAGCCTGAAACGGGGAAGGGCAGCAGGACCAGACGGACTACCTGCTGAGGTATACAAGAATGGTGGTAGAGTTCTCTTAGTCAGGCTAACGGAAGTGTTAGCCAGTATATGGGAATCAAATACGATCCCCTCCGACTGGTCTAAGTCACTCATCATCCCAGTCTTCAAGAAAGGCGAGAAGTCCTCTTGTGATAACCACAGAGGAATCAGCCTGACAAACATAGTGTCTAAAATCCTATAATTCTCCGACGCCTGAGTGGAGCTCGGGAACAGCAAGCCCGAGAAAACCAGGCAGGCTTTAGACCTGGCCGTGGATGTATCGACCAAATATTCACACTGCGCCAGGTCCTGGAACATAGGCATGCTTACAGACGCCCGACAATAGCTGTATTTCTCGACCTGAAGGCGGCATTTGACTCCGTTGATCGAGAAGTCTTATGGCAGTGTCTGTCACTGAAAGGCGTGCCTAGTAAGTACATCACCTTATTGAAAGCTCTCTACTCGAACACTTGTGGGCATGTTAGAGCCTATGGTGAGTTGTCCAGGGAGCTATACTCATCAAGTGGTGTCCGTCAAGGATGCCCACTATCCCCATTCTTATTTAATTTTATCATAGATATTCTTATGGAGGTTTCCCTCTCGTCACCTAATTACAAGACGTTGACCGATCACAGGTGAATTTTCCTTAGATCTAGAATATGCAGATGACATAGTCCTGTTAGGTGAAGACGCTGACAAGATGCAGAGTCTTCTGAACACTTTGAGTGGGAATTTGAGAATGTTTGGGATGCGATTTTCACCACCCAAATGCAAATTTTTGCTCCAGGACTGGTCTTCAGCGGTACCGCGGTTAACAATAGAGAGTGAAGTGGTTGAGTGTGTTGACCACTTCACTTACCTGGGAAGTAGGATCAACCCGGTGGGTTAGTTGCCGATGAGATTTCTGCACGGATACAAAAGGCTCGATTGGCTTTTGCCAATTTGCGCCACCTATGGCGCCGCCGTGATATTCGTTTGTCTATTAAGGGTCGCGTGTACTGCACAGCAGTCCGCTCTGTTCTACTGTATGGCTGTGAAACATGGCCATTGAAAGTGGAAGACATGAGAAGGCTTCAGGTGTTTGACCACCGTTGCCTTCGTAGTATAGGACGTATTCCGTGGTGTCACCATGTGAGTAATGCAGAAGTTAGGTGTAGAGTTTTGGGGAGAAGAGGTAAGTCAGTCGACGAGGTTGTGAACCTTCATCGACTGAGATGGTTGGGACACGTACTACGTATGCCTAGTCACCGATTGCCTCGTCACACAATGTTGGCTGAGGTGGGTCCAGGCTGGAAAAAGGCCCGAGGTGGCCAGACTAAAACATGGCACCAATGTATGAAGTCTCTGACTGTTGGTTTAAGCCATGTAGGACGATGCAGACTAGGTGGTTGGGGTCCACGGGACAAGAGGAACCAGTGGTTGGAGACCCTAGGTGATATGGCTCAGAACCGAAGTCAGTGGCGCAGATGTATACACACATTATCCTCATCTTAACAACGCTATACCGAATCTCACCATTTTGTCATTCTTCCTTTCTCTCTTTTCGTACTTTATATTTCTTTTGGCTGCATTCTCTTATCGTCATCTTGCGCCTCACTACCTCTCCACTTGATGTACTGATATGAGGTGTGGCAACTGGGACCGTTACACAGTAATGCCTGGTCCTATGTTGATATTGATTGGTTGATTGATATTGAGTTGCCAAGTTGAAAAGAAACTTGACAGTTTTGTTCATTGGCGATCTGCTGCTTCAATCATCAACATGCTACAACATCATTATTATTAGGGCTGTCATGTAAATTTATTCATTTTATGTTCCTAATACACTTTTCTACTACGCATGAACGAGTAACCGTTTTTAAGAGTATAAGTTACTTAGGTCGAGTCTATGACAATAAATAATAAAAGTGAAGTAGTAATTGATTTCATTTTTGACACTTACCTGATCTGAAGTGACTGGTGTCTGGATACGGAGATCTGGTTGGGCAGGTTCTTGAGTGGAAGGAAGACTATACTTCGATTTCATTCGGTCAACCGAGGTTTTATTCAAAAAACGACTATCAATAGATTCTGATGGTGTATCTTGTTCAGGTATTGGAGGATGATGAATCTCATGTTGAGCACGTCGATGCCTTTCATACATTCTATGGCCACTAGGGTGACGATCACGACTAGTAGTATTTAGTAAATTTCCGCTGCAAATCCTCGGAGGTCGAGCAAGTCTAGAAGCAGATTCAACCGATGCCTCAGAGATAACAGATTTTGAAAGTGCTGAGGATCTAGAGGATGGTGGCAAATCATGTATGCCAAGAGCACTCAAACTGCTTGATCCTGGTATGTAGGGTGAGTTTTCATTGCGTCCTTTATAAAGATTTGGTAGGGAAAAATATTAAATACATATGAGTAACAATTTCGAAACGTAATACTGTGAAAAAGTATACGAAAAGGAATTGCTCCATAATTAAACCAGAAAAACGCAATCAGCAACTTTACAAACCTGATCTATATGGAATGCTCAGTTCGTAGGCCCAACCGCAAGGTATCCAACACGGTTGACGTTCCAACTTTGATACCAGACGATTTAATTTTTCAACGCTTTCTTTCATGTTTTTATTGATCAAAGTATGCGAATATAAATGACGATATATTACTGCCATGGACATAGAGTCCTTTATAATAGACTGTAGTTCTTCATCCTAAAATATTCAGTTGTGGAAGACAGGGAAAAGTGATAAAATGTGGTACCGCATGGATGTATATATACATATTTCAGCATAGTAAGTTTCTTAAGCAGTAGAGTAACATTAGAGAGAGGCATCGTTTACTAAGGTTATTTAAATTTACGCTTAACTGAAAATTATGTCCACCGTATGTCTAAAGGTTTTTCTCCAAACGAATACTCTTTATAGATTGACTACAGACTTCAAACAATACTATGTGACGATATGCGACGAATAACTAATAACCTTTAAAACTGTCATACTTAAACCTTTATTGACCCTTCACTGGAGACTATAAGCAATGTGCACATGACTGAAAATGTTACACTTTTATGGATAGTGGCTAAAATCTGCAAAAATATGTACGAGTTTTCTCAATACTGACTAATAATAATTTCAGTAGTAATCTGATTCTTGAGGAAAATCTGCAAAAATAGCAGTAACACGATAATTTAAACATGAGACATTACATCACAACTTACAGAGCGAATGTTTGTAGTTACATTGGCTTGCAAACCGTCATGTAACATGGTTTTAGCTACTTCAAACGATGGAGCAGCGACGAAAACAACACAAGGATTAAATTCAGGTTGATGCAATAAATGTAGCGTCTAAAATTTATAACAACCGAATGATATTAAATTCTTATAAAAAAACATCAGTATATATGAGACGGTAGTGAACAGTAAGAAACATGTGTTAAATTTCATAACAGATTACTAAACAGCTTCTTAGGCCATATATTTACAATGTTAACAAGTCAACCAGAAATTTGAGACTCTAGTTAATTCACTTGGGCTTTCAGGTGAAACCACATTATTTAGTATAAAAATCGTCAGGCAGCTCATGAAATAACCGAGGGTAGAGTTATCAGAAAGAGATACATCTTGTTCGAATGTCCCACATCACTTGTCGTGTAATGAGATATAAAAACAATCTCTGAGATATGAGAGGTAAACAAACCTACTTTTAAAAACAGTAGCAAACCAGCAGTGTTCGGCGTCTTAAGAGTTCCATATAAACTACTTGAAATCTACTTCATGTCTACAATTACCACTTAAGTCTCCATGATCTGCTCGTCAACCCAAGTTTTACTCATACACTAACAGAATAACTGAAGACAGATGACAAATTGTAAATATCCTCCCTTAATTATGAGTACTTGGTAGTATCACTGGAGAACGTAACCATTTTCTTAACATTTTCGCTTGGAATTGACTCCCTTCTAAAGTGCCAACATTTCAACTGCTTGCTGTACTGATTTCTACCATCTTTGTGATAAGAGTGTTTATTTTTAGGTCATTTCTTTTGATTTACCAAAAGAAGGTACATGTATGCATCCAAAACAACAGGTGTCTGTACACACTAAAAGTTTCTTTGATAGAAAATCAAAGAGAAAATGGAATCGATTTAATGAATAGTGTTATCCGTCAACATCATTCTACTGTTATAAAATAAAGGTGGGGACGGAACACTGTAGATAGTTCCCATGTGTATTATGGAACTTCATTTCTATTATAAGGTTTATTTTGACCCCTCATCGAAAGTAACTGTGAATTATTCCACAACATACATCACACACGAATATACAGTCAAGATAATAAATTAAAAGAAAAATCTTTGTGAAATCGTCTTTTCCCATGAACAAATGAGTTCATTCCGATGTTAAAATAGCATCGGTTATATACGGCACTCTTATTGAAAAAATACTACCTCATTAGTATAATTGTTTTTATATCATACCGTCATTGATTGGACCGAATTGATCGGTCTCTATTGGCATAGGGGCTCCTGTTCGGATGCCTCGATATTACTTGTGCTCTAATGATAGTAATGATGGATAGTGGCTAGCAGTGGAATCCAGGATACACATTCCGTCCTATTTCAGACTCATCAGCTAAATGTACCTGCTTCCTGGTGTGATGTTGTTCCACTGCTAGCCAATATCCATCATTACTATCATTAGAGCACAAGTAATATCGAGGCATCCGAACAGGAGCTCATATGCCAGTAGAGACCGATGAATTCGGTCCAATCAAAGATGATATGATATAAAAACAATTATACTAAAAACCATACCAGTCGCACAAGAAGTGGCTATCGTCACTCGGTGGTGTAGTGGATAACGCTCTGGCGTTTGAAGTGATCGCTCCCGAGTCCTAATTCCGGTGGGAACAACATCACACCAGGAAGCAGGTACATTCAGCTGACAAGTCCCAAACAGGATGGATTCTACTGCTAGCCACTATCCATCATTAATACTACCTCGTGTTCTATATTAACTTATCAGTTATCCGAAAGATCACATCTGATCATAGTACAGACGTGCAACTATTAGTTTCAACTGGCATAAAGATTTCATCAGGTTTTCTAACCGATAAACACTTAACAACATGAAAATATATTGCATTACAGCATTGTATCACGAAACTGTTTGACAAACTTGTATCACTAATAAAGACTTGACCATAATATATAACCTGCTCTTATTGAACGTTTGTATTATTTATGTTAACCTATTTCATTTATAATTCATTAAGCAGCTTAGTTGTTTGTTTCATTCACCTACTGTTTTTTTATTCATAATTTGAATGGAATACTTCACACCAGACTTCACCATTGTGTTTTGTGTGTTATAACATTGAATCACTGTAAATTCGATTGGAAGAACAATTTTACTAAAATCTGTGACGCGTTCAATATATGAACTTGATTTGGAACGACTTATTCTTGGTTACTCCATGGGAATTCCGCGAATTTGTATCTTCGTCGCAAGTCTTCTGTGCTGTACGGTTACTATCAAGTTAATCACTTCATAATCTATTACGCTTAGTATATATAAACAAAAGTTAATCAACTCCGATGCAGATTAATCACCTGCAGTGAATGTAATGTAAATTAGAAAAAAAAGTTATATGCAACACTGTAGGTTATCATCCAACATAGTTGGCAACTTCATCTATTTTAAACAAATCATTAGAGTGGGTTAATAGGCTGATTGCTAAATTAAAAACAGTGATAAGTAGACCCAAGTGAAGTTCTCTATAAAAGTGCAACACAGCACTGAAAATACAAATATTTCTAAAATAAAAACATGATCACTTTCATCTGTAACTCATTCATATGGGTAGATTATCAGATTTACAAACAAGTACAATGATGGGTGTGAAGAAAAAACGGTTGACAAGATGTAAAACAATCTGTGCAGAACTCAACCAGAAAATGACAGCCAATCTTAAATATCAAATAAACTGACCAGGTATTATGACTAGAATTTATACACTTACAAGAACCGATTTAAAGGATGCAAACAACCAATCAAAAAGAGGGATACAGATGCCGAGGGGATACAAGGTTAAAGCACCGATGACTTGCAAGAGTGCAGAGTGAGTTGGTAGTAGAAATGAACCCCATATGCAAAATAATGAGGTTTAATACTGGACAAATATGAAATAAGCGTAGCAAAGCCAATACTGACAAACGTAAATTATCAATACATCGGACTATATGATAATAATGGGTGTCAGAACTTCAAGAGCGTTGATCCCAACACCAAAATGATCATTATTCATTGGGAAGTTCATGATCGACCTTATAAATATGATTATTAACTGCATCTTTTTTAAATATTTAATTTGTTGTGGTCAAATGGAAGAAAAGCATCGCCTATACCACTTTTAAGTTTGATAATAGTTAAATAACATGGTAATGGGATAATTCCGAAAAGCACCAGATCGATTTGAAAATAGTTTTTCGTAATAAGCAACCACTTCATCACTTTTGAGAAACTAAGATTTTCATTTTGACTATCTGAGATAACCGTGGTTCAGCAGACTTGTACTGGGTGACGACTGAAGAGAAAAATCTGGTCAGCAGTAGGGTCTTCTAGCTCAGTTAGTAGAGCAGTGGGTCGAAAACCCAGTGGTCGCTGGTTCAACTCCCATCACGGTCCAACTTTTCACTTCACCTTCAATCATCACCCAGTATCAAACTTCGATTTGTTTATTTTCATGATAAGATCAGTTAATATGTCTCTTTGCTAGAAAAAGACATACTGATATATTTATGTCCAGCTAATGAGTAAAAAGTCAAAAACAATAATACTTACTTGAGGTTGGCAGTCTAATACGGCAGTTTTTCCATTGGCTATAATTCTGCGTAGTTCTGAGAAACGAATTCCATAATAATGACCACCAACTTTTCCCCATTCAACGTAAGCGCCAGATTTCACATCAGCTTCCATCTGATCCTTTGATAAAACTTTGAACAAGTTTGTCGGCAATGTTGAATCAGTGGTATCTACATTATTATTAAAAAAGAAAACAAAACAAGTAGTTTTAGTATAATTGCTTGTATTATGCCGTCGTTGATTGGACCGAATTGATCGGTCTCTATTGGCATATGGGCTCTTGTGAGGATACCTCGATGTTACCTGTGGTCTAATTATACTAAAGATGGATAGTGGCTAGTAGTGAAATCCAGAATGCACATTTCGTCCTATTTGAGACTCATCAGCTGGATAGACTTGCCTACCACTAAAGTGATGTTGGATTCCACTGCTAACCACTATCCATCTTTACTAAAACAAGTAGTTATCTAGGAAGTTTACTCAAGTGAAAACTTCAGAGATAGTGCATTACGTTAGGTTACTCAACCTTTTGGTAGCATAAACAGTATATCAATAAGAAGCAAGAGAAGTCCTAAATCATAAGAAAACTGAAAAGATGGAGAGGGAAAATAAATACGTTTGGAGTAATAAATTGTTTACAAGTTTGAGGTAATTCAGATTCACCCAGCCGTTCTCTAACGACACATCACATATTATCTTCATCTGCGGATCTCTAATGAAATATGATTCCATCATGTTGAAGAATTGACTGGATAACCTAAAAGGGTGGTAGCAGTAAGGATGTAAAAGTTCATGTTGATTACTAGTACATAGCTATGGCCGATAGGGTTGAGGGTTTGACTTTTAATCATTGGATCATATAATCCAAGATCACTGCAACCAATAAGGTTTTCATAAACAAGCAGAATAACTATTACTGCCTACGATAACACAAATCCGTATGTTGTTGCTAATTTGTATAAGGTGCTTGTATTACGGTTTCAGTTTAAAGATAAAGGATCTTAGAGTTCAGTAATATGTAAGAGAAATGTGTACATCACCGATTAGAATTCCTGTTTATATATTTACAGTCTGGTTACAATCGATGTCGAATCATAGTTTTATTAATGCGTAGAAAGAAACAAACAAATCGAAGAAACTAAGTAAATTCAATGAAAGACAACATTCATTTAAAATTTGTGCAAAGTGAATTTCTAAAAAATCTAACAATTACTTGTTCAACATTTTACCCACGATATTTAATCTCAACTTAAATGACATGGAATTTAAACAAGTGAAAAAAATTAAAATCACATGATATCAAAACTCTTTAACTAAATGAATGCCAATAAAAAGGTGTGTGAGAAAGACAGCGAAGTAACAGAAGCTAAATTACACCATATATATATATATATATATATATATATATATATATATATATATATATATATAGTATAACGTGAGTCACTTTAGGGGTACAGACTTGAACAGTAGTCTTCAGATCTCGCTTTTAATGGTCGCTTGATATCTCGAAAACAGGGGAAGTCGTGAAACAACGGAAGAGATACTTATGACCGGATGAGGTGAAAACCTCTGATCTATTTTTAGATCTACCTAAAGTGGTCTTGAGTACTTTTCAAAGGCTGTTACAACTGACTTTTGGAAGTTTCTAACGTCTTCAGTGATTTCGAGTTTTTCAGATGATCTGAACTACAGCATTACATTCCAACAACAACATTTATATATACACATATAAAGCGAATAACTTTTATTGTAAACGCATAAGAGCAAGAACCAAACGAAAGAAATGATGTAGTGCAAAATAAACACACGCATAAACAGCACTTATACGAAATACAGACATCGTTAGTTTACCTGTTATAGGGTAAGCAAAACGATTCGGTTCATATTTCGCAAGCAGTACCTTCAAGTTACGTCGACCAACTCCATTTGGTCCAATTAACAGAAGACAAGGTACTTTCGATTGTGGCCATGGCACAACCTCTTCGTAACTCCATATATCTGAGCGTAGACGTAAGCCTATGCAGTAGTGCAAACGATATAAATAATTTTAAAAAATGGGCAAAAATCCTTCACATACATGATTACATTAGCTAAGATTAACAAGGCTCTTAGTTAACTTCAGTCGAATCATCAGTCGAAATCACGCATCATTCAACATTTATTACCACTCAGCAATAAGGAAACCGACGACCACTGAAGTGTGTCTCCAAGTCAAAAATATCACAAGTGAGAAAAGATCACTGAAAAATATCGATTTAAAATTCCCAGTAAATCTATTGGGAGATGTGGTGTAACAAATGCTAAATAGTAGCTTACCTGATGCATCAGCAGCCCTGAAGAATGTTTTAACCTTTCTCCACGATTTACGATTATTGTGTGCTGAGGAAAAAAGAAATGAAACACTATAATAACAAGCCCCATACTCTCAACATTATGATGCTTTCAAATAGCATATACAAATGAAGAATAACTCTGTGAATGCTATTCAAGTTCCTACAACGAAATCCGGTTGTTTGAGAAAATAAGTACATCCTGCTACAAAATAAAAAGTTAGAACGATTAAACATCTTTGCATTTTTCAAAACAGGTTTACTCCACAATGGAACAGAAGTTGCTCCGATTTGCAATTGGTTAGTAAACTGTGTCTATAGTGGTTACAAAAGTGTTTATTCCAATTCAGTTACACTTTGTAAAATGAGAAAACGTAAGTGTGCATCGAATGCTTGTCAAATGGGAACCAATATAGCATATAGCTTTCTAGATGCTCACTAAGTACTATCAACTGAGTTTTATAGCCATTAAGCTCAGTGGGAAATGATTACGATGCACTCCAATCAATGACATATGTTTGAAGTCAATCAGTAGAAAGCTTCAGCTAACCAAGATTTCGTATTTATGAGAGAATTCATAATCTGTCAATGCAGTAGCCGATATTTAACACTGAAACTATGTTATTTCGATCGAATGCAAGTGAACAAAAAAGCCAGCATTGCCATCGCTCTAAAATTTGTCAGAAGCAATCCGTTTAGCGATTACCTCGGATACCCATTAACTTCACAATGTCAACCAAGTACACATGGGTCATAAATACATAGCATGAAATAAAATAATGGAAAAATATTCATGTAAAAAACGGAATCCACAACTGATACAACCAACATACATTGAAGCTTTTCTTGATTGAAAGCTTGACGGCGTTCTTCAAGTGTCTGTGATGGTATTAACCGTGCTTTAGAATTGGGTTCTTTCAATGAGCGAACCTTTGTGAAAGATAAAGTAATAGAGCGAAATGAAGTATGCTCACGTTTTACAAAATGTAAGATCTCTTTAGCTAAACAATAAAATATATTTTCATGAGTGCAACATTTCCGAATTGCCAGTTGCTAAGATTTAAACGATGACCATGAGTCAATTAACATTACATGTTTCTTTTCTTTCGGGTGCAAATCAGGTTGACAAATGAAACGGATTGACTAAAAGCCAGGGAATTCCTACTCTGTTTATCATGTGGCTGGAGCAAATAGGCTTAGGACACAACATTGTGTACTTGGAATATCTTAAGGTGATTAAACACTCAACAGAAAGAGTGGTAAAGATAATAACTTGTATCTAAAAGTTAGCAAACGTCAGGGAAGTTTTGCATCCCAGTCCGGACTGATTGACTCCAGAAAACTCATTCCACCCGGCTCTGATCATAATGAGGAGTGAAAGCAACTTAAACACAGGCTGATCAAGAGTCTTAAAAATGATAGCGAGCAACGGTGGTTGGTGAAAGCGTAAAAAATGGAGGTTTCAACCTTAAGCAATACTTAACATTATTTAAGCTTATTAAGGAGACTTAGAAGAAGACAGTGGTTAGTTGGACCATCACCAAAAAGGATGTGACCCTGATAACTTCTCAAGACAGGTGGCCAGAAGGTAGACTGAAACAATTTGAAACAGCAACGCTTCAATAGACCAGCATTTAGTCTCAACTCCAATGGAACGTAGACATTGATCCTTAAAGTCTCCTTGATGTTGCAAAGGCTTTTTCAAACCTGAAACAATGCAAAGACTCAGTACCTGACGGTTTGCCATCATACTATAGGATAAATGAATGAAATTACCGATTACAATAATGGGGGGGGGAACTATGTAGTGTATGACAATCAGAGGTACTACCGTCAGACTGTTCTACTTCACTGATCACTCCAGTCTATAAGAAAGGTAAGATATCTTTTTGTGAGCGGTTTTACCTATTTCGTGTCCTAAATCCTTGGGTCTGCAGTTATTCGACGACTACATGGGTCCGGAGAACAACAAACTAGAGGAAAACAGGTAGGTTTCATACTGGGACGAGGGTGCATCGATTAGATCATCACCTTTCCTCAACTTGTGCATACTACTGACCCAAGGCAACGATTACGTTTTCTTTTAGCTTGAAGGAGCATCAAACTGTTACCTGAAACATGTTGTAGCAGTGCTTGACTGTGGAATATCGAACAAGTATATAGTGCTTATCAAAGCTCTCTACTGTAACTCACACAGCCATGTAGGGGCTTATGGAGAGTTGTCATCAGAATCGACAACAACTAGTGGTGACGGCCATGGAAGGTCACTGTTACCGTTTCTGTTTAACCTCGTTATGGATATATTAATAGGCAGCGTCTTCTGAACGCCTTGTGTAGAAATCTTAGTATGTTAGATATGCGTTTCACGCCTTTCATATGCAAGACGATGCTCAAAGAATGGTTTACCCTTTAATGAAGTGTAGTGAAGTGATCGAATGTGTTGACCACCTCACTTAGGAAGTTGAATCAGTTCAAATAGGCTGGTTGCTGATGAAATCTCATGGCGAGTACAGATAATGTGGTAGTTTTCATCATCTCTGGCTTGGATGAGATATGCAACTACCTATCAAAGAACAAGTACACTGGGCGGTAGTTCACTGTTTTATTATACGACTGTAACAAATGGCAGTTGAAAGAAATATGAAGAAGTTCCAGGATTTTGAGCACGCGTGTTTTCATAGCTGGATGGATTTGCCGTTCGAGCAATCTAAAGGTTAAGCGTAGGGTAATAGGTAAGTCAGGCAAGTTAGTCGATGAGGCTTTGGACCTTCAGCGACTGAAGTGGCTAAGACGTGCTGTGTTAGCCAAAGTAAAATCATATTGGGGAAGGCTTAGGGTGGTCAGACTAAGACGTGGCACCAGTTCATATTCATAAAAGAAGCTAATTGCTTCACATTTCTGAGACGAAACCAGGTTTGACCTTCAGAGTTTTTTTTTGATATGGATGATTTCAATAAATCTTGTTAATTAAAAGAAACCTCCAATAGTATGTTGACTATAAAAATTAATGATCTAAGGTTCATTTGGTGTTCAAAGTCGACCAAATGTACAAAAATTGGATTTTTCTAAAAAAGCAGACGCTGAGTAAGGTTGATGTACCTTGGTCCTCAGGAGCAGGAAAATTGACATTTACACACTGAAAGGGCCAACAGCGTTCGTTGTTGGTTTGCTTGGTGCATATTGCCATGCTTACTTATTAACAATTCTATTCGATAGCCCCATAAGAAATGGTAATAATCACTTAATCCCTTTTCCTATTTATTAAAATACTCTACTCATTGGTGAATTTAGCATCTACGATCGGATGATTCATTTAAACACTATTGATTATTACTACTAGTTTGAGAATAATTCATAAAATCGTATGGCTATATACTTAAAAATAGCAATACATATGAATAAAAATACTTACTACAAAAAAAATAAAATGCAGAAAAATTGTATTTCACATGTGTTATGTGTTTCGGGGTTATTTTTCTAGATTATTTATTTCTGTAGGTGTCACACTGACAGTGTTCTATCGGATCTAGGAACAACATATATACTTTATATATGAAGATGAGACAGAAAGGTTTAAACCAAATGCGAATGTATAGGAAGTTTGAGGAAAGCCTACGCTACTCGTTTACCATAGAGTAGCGAATATATACATACCGATCGATTCAATTTGAATGATATTACAATAAAAAATTGATGAATAAATTACACTTATTGATTAAATAAAAATTTCAATAATTATTAATAGATTAACAGATTGATTTTCCAATCAGATCAACAATAGCTATTGAACAGAAAAAACTGTTGAACCAATTATATCATTCTAATGTACAACATTAACTGATATTGCTTTTAGCCTCTTCTAAGGAGTTAAAAACTAGAAAAATACAACTGTTTAATCTTCCCCTGGTTTTCAGAGATTCTCCAGATGATGTTGAAAAATGTTTTAAAACCATTTCTACACAAACCACTGAATAAAATCAACACAGTTTTCAGTTGTTTGGTACATAAAACGACTAGTTTACCAATGTTAATAAATATGGCAATAAAATGAGTTAAAGACATCTCATTTACTTGAAGACATTTCTATCTGATTTTTTAAGGAATAAATCAAAAGTTGTTAACATCTTTCATGAGAAAAAAAAATCAAATGCTACTGATTACTAATAGAACTGACCGACTCTTGGTTCACATGGATGTATCTCGAGGCCTTATATGAATATGTGCACGCATTAACTACGAGTCGTTTTGCCTGATGTCGTTTAGAATTGAAACCTGATTAAAAGTTGAATCTGAAAGCACAGTCAGCAGAAAACGAACAGGCGATAAGAAGTTCATTACTTTCTACTGTCCTGTGAACCAGCCATCATCTTTATATTAATCAATCCATCATATATAATCTTGTAGTGTACACTATTAATATTATTTGTCCCTCAGGTTCCAAGTAGAATATACAGCTTCCAAAGCATTTGGTCATCTCACTTCGTTCTCGGCTATCTTTCAAACCTGGTTTCACCACTACCCAGAAGCTTTCATTTCTTCCTCACACCATCTCCTCCATGTCACCCTCGCCTCACACGCCAAACTCGTTGTTCCCCATTCGCCTTCCACTCGACGACCTGAACTGCAGCGTAATGTCCCAAAACCGTCTTCTCAGTGTATGTCCAGTACCATCCATTTCCACTTTCTGCCACATATTTGTTGGCAATGGGTTCTCGGTTGGTTCGTTGCCAGACCAGAGTGACTTTCTTGTTGCTTATTCTTTCAGGCCATCTCTTTGATCTTGAGTATCAAGCCAGAGTAGGCAGCTGCTGATGGATGTCCACAGTTTGTTGGAAATACTTTTCGTAACCCGCTAAGTCTCTCAACTATCACATGGAAGCGCTGAGTTGACTGATATTAGTGTTGAAAATTTGGATGTTGTTCACCCTTTATGCTGAGTGCAGTAGATCTCCACACTGATTTCGGATTAATGGAAGTCTGTCTTGCTGTCTTTCCGATCCTGGCTTTGACATCTTCATCTGTACCTATGCCGTCTGTAGTTGAAACGATGCTGCCTTGTCTAGGTAGGTGAAAGAGACAACTTTGTTTAGATTTCTGCTGTTGATGGTGATTGGTGCTTGTTGTTATTATTGTTGACTGGGTACCTTCATCACCTCTGTCTTCTCTACCTTCACCTGAAGGAAGTCCCGTTTTTGCTACTTCTTCTGTCAACTTGTTGGTTTTTACGTGTATATATCCCAAATAATAATTTTCAAGCGTTTGTTTTTACATTTATTGTTACTGATCGTACGCATTACCTAGAAAGTACATCGCCGGTGACTAGACAAACAAATGTTCATAAAAATAAGCAACCAAATAAGGTATGAATCAAATTATCACTTCAAAGTATGTTTTATGAAGCATTGACCTTAATCAGAAGTATATTGAAAAACTGGAGGCACCGGACAACTGTTTCGCCATGGTTTGAGACTCTTCAAACAATGAGCACTTAGCATCCATGAATTATGAAACCAAAGGTCACTGCATTTCGTAACCATTTGTTTGTTGAGCTATCAGACGTCAACTCAGCGACTCATTGGCACAGTATCTCGATTCTACCCCACGTTCCTGGAGAGTCCGAGACTAAGAATAAATAGCCTTGACGTGCTGTAGAGTTTCAAGTAGTTCGTTGGTTGATACAAAAAAGGAAGACCACATAATCATTTTATTCGAATTGAAATAATCACAGACAAATACGTATATTCAACAGAAGAATACACAGGCTCGCGTATACTGAATTATGAATATCCTTTACAAAACAATCCCTCTCTTCTTGATAGGTGGTAATAATCTCTTTTATGGGGTTAAAGACAATTGCTGGGAACATGTATCGAATCTATATTTTATACTCGTTATCCTTCGTTATCAACGTATGTCAGCGACCTTGAGGGTCTCCTATGGATTATTTCAAACCACCAGACAAAGGACATTGAGATATCGAATCGTCTAGTTTAATGAATACATCGTAAACTTGGTCGATAAAACTCGGTTAGAATTTAGAACATGATACCGGTTACTCTCTAATAATCAATTAGTGTAAATTTATGCCTAATAATTTTAAAAAAACTTCTTAAGAAATATATAACGGTTCAATCCAACAGATAATACTTTAAATCGCATAACATACCTGCCACCAATTAGGATCTTGATCGTCAACCAGTTCTAACACATCTCCAGATTTGAAGGAAAGACCGACATCACCAGTAGGCAGAAGTGTATCCTTTGTTGCATCATAGTCGAATAAACACCGAATATAACGCTATGAAGCAGGAAACAAAGATTAAAAACAATGTGTACATTTAAGTGGCAGTTTATCTTACGTGCAAATAGATAAACATAACATGCTGACGTCCTAAGTGCTGACCAACTTTCAGTAGTCATTTTGTAGTGTGTCCAACAGGCTAGAACAGTCGGCATCACGGTGCAATTTGGTTGATTATTAAGCACTTAGGACTACACAACATGAAACCGGTTATTCTCCAGTTACCAATCATTGTACCTAATCCATTCCTACAGGAAATCAATCGCCATCCAAATGAATCAGTAGCAACGTCTCTGACTACAGCACTGGGTGGCACAGGTTCAAATCTCACTCGGGATATCAGGTCCCTCGACGTTGTAGATACGCCTTGCTGTCAAGTGTCAACAAGTACAAGACCTAGGTGCAGGGCTTCTTGTCGACTACCCCCAACCTTTGAACACAATACACTCAGTTGTTGTGTTTCGTAGCGATCAAAATAAGCACCACGATATCATGTAACAATTGAATATGTTTGATATAAATAAAGAATTATGGAGTAACTTCGTAAGCAAGGGAGAGTGGGATTTTCTCTTACAGAAACTGATTCATGTGACTTTCTGAAGCCTTGACACAGTCTAAAGTAGTCTTATAATTTGTCCAACATAGCGTCAGTATTTTTATTGTAATCTCAGTTGTGAAAATTCCAAAATAATGTTCATGAATACCTATAGATATTGTTAGTGAAATCAAAGTAAACGTCTACACCCTTCATTGCTCCCTACACCACTATTTTGCTGGCTACATAAGCCTACTAAGAAAGAACATTATCTATTCTTATATACTTTAGGAAGTTAGAAATTAAAGTAAGCATTCAGAACCAATCAAACTATTCACAATTGTTCGTTACGCAGTAATATCTGGTCTTATGTTGATTTAGATGGATGGATGGATAATTGTCCAGAAAAATAACAGGTTTATTTGCATTGTTCGACAGAGTGAATTCATATAAAATCGATGACTATAACACTATGAAACGCTCTAGAAATGCCTAGAACATTTGTAAACGCAGAAATAAAGCTTTGTCTATCCTAACGCCTATGTTTTTTCTTACGTATTCAACAACAGGTGAAGTGAAATCTCGAACGTGATTGTTCAATCATTGACAAGCGTACATCATTATACCACTTGTATCAAAAGATTTATTTTTTCGAAGTGAAGTATAAGCGTGAAGATAAATACTCCACTAAACAGGTTAAACTTGTGTGTGCAAAAAAAACCAGCTCATAGCAACCTACTGCTCTAAAGTAGATGATAAATTATAGTTATCAAAATAATTTAAAATTACTGCGAATTTGTTCCAGATTTCTGTCGGTAAATTTCAATAAGCATCATGCGGCATTTTAGTTTAGTTATGTAACAATAATAATGACAACAACAACAACAACATTTGTTATGTTTGTAACGCTAGTTTAAACAAAGACTGCTAGTTGATACAAGACAACAAGAAAATGGTAATTAGATACGGTTAAGAACATCTAATCACATTTCGCAGCGACATTTTGGACTGTTCTATACATAAAAAATAAAATGAAATAGTATAAAGAAAAATAAAAGTTTAGACAATAAATAGTACAGTGCTAAACCTAATAAGAAGACAAACTGGTCATTTTATCCATTTCTCATAGTGTTTTTCAGTACAAACTAATATTATACTTGATGATTACCTGAAATTGTACCGATAAGACAGACTGATCTAACTTTAGAAAATAATGAATGAAATTTGAAACGAAAATATGAACCAATACATTTTTGGGGTTCAAATCCTGGTGCAAAGCGATTTCAAACTGTTATCTATTCATATCAAACTAAATGTCGGCCGAGTAATCTATGATAACTATGGTTTTGTGATAATTGGTCATCAACATGATGTCATGTTTGGATATAACAGCGTTAGGTTTAATTTGGCTGGTTGACAACCTCAACCTCAAGCACCCATGTAACAGAATATGACGTTTACCTCAATGTTAATTGTGATGGTACTTCTGAGTTAGGTTCTAGGTTGATTTCCCTGTGTGTCTGTGAAAGTCACTGTACAGAAATGAGTAAAGACATAAGTAGAAGAGTTTTTCACCGGAGCTTATGACACATGTTTTCTAGTAAGTCACTCCGATTGGGTAGCTATACCAACTTAGGTGTTCTGAACACGCTTTACAAAGGCCAGAAACTGCCACCAACAACACTTAGTATTGAAAGTAGGATTAAAGTCGAAAAAAACGACGGCAAACAAAACATGACAGCAACCTAAGAAGTCGATGACTATTGGATCTGAGTAGCGCCCCTGAAATTTTGGTAACTGTTTGACGACTGTAGGAAAAATTGCTAAGAGATCAGTTAGAATAGATTATCTACTCGTTATCTTTTTCGAAGTCTTAAGTATCTTATTACTTTCTCCATTTATTTATCCCCTCGATTTCGTCATTTCCTGTTTATATTAATATACATCAAATTTTATTGAATGGTTCCCGCTGCAACTGCAAAGTGTAGTGACTTTAAATTGTACAATCTCGTGCAAGATTTTCAATGGTGACGACTGTTGCTCTGTTTGTGTCAAGCCAGTAGCTACTGTAAAATCGGTTGGGATAAAACCTTGAGTTCAAAAAGTAGTTAAATTAGACCTGAAATGAACTCAAACAATGCAGGTATATCACGAAAAAGAAACATATGCAGATACACAATACAAAAAAAGAACGTTCACTAAAAAGACACAATGAACCGAAAACACTGGGACACGTAAAATATACGCATCTATTCGACAAAGTGAATAGATAAAACAACCAGAATCATAAAAACATAATTCGCAGATGTGTGTCGTCGCAGACAGTATGTTAAAAACGATGTTTTCTTCTTTTCTGGTAGAATACAGATCATTATTTACCACTATACAACAAACACCGATTACACTATGATAGTAACTAACTAATAAAAGGATAAAAAGGCAGAAAATCATGCAAAAGAGCAACATACATGCACTACATCTGCATTAAAAATATATATGATTCTGGTTTATAAGAAAAGATTAAAACTTAAAGTGGTAAATACAGAACAGTTAGCCTAGTCAAGGTAGTTTTCAAATTATATATGTGAAACATCATTGTGCTGTGGAATGAATCAACATCTAGAGACATTGATAATATTTGGATTTCAGAAATATTTTGAGTAGAACTTGATAAACAATTCCAAAGATCGTTGTGATCGCGGATATTAGTGTTGCTTAAAATATAAACAACACTAAAACCTTATCACTATATATAAAATTTTTTATTACATACATATAATAAAATTGATTTATTTCACATTGCACAGACTTTTCATGAATATAATTCAGAAACTGTGTTGGCTAAGCTAACTCTTCCATTGTAACCTCTTTAGTGTCTAGCAGTGGAATCCAGGACGCATGCTTCGTCCTATTTGGGACTCGTCAGCCGGGTGTACCTAGGTCCCAGTGAGTGGTGTTGTTCCCACAGAGACGCAAACACAGTGCCCACTGCTTCAAAGCGTTATTTACTTGGTAACTGGGATATGAGAACTATCACTCTTCTATAATTGTCACATTAGGGTTTGCCCTTTCTTATAAACTAACCTCGCCTGGTTATCTAGTTCACTAGTTACTAGCTGGTCCTCAGCCCGGGTAAAGAGGGAAGGTTGGGCATACCGCTAGCAACTCTACCCGTAAAAATAATCCAATCTCTAAAGAAACTTCAAAGCATAAAGAAAATATGAATAATAATAACGATAATAAAATAATAATCTTATGAACTATCACTATAATAGGGACCTAATCTAGCTAAACATACGGCAAACTGCTAATAAATACTAAACAGGGAGAACAACAGTTTTCCTTTTCTAACTAAATATATTAAGGGGAAGAATCGTATGGAACATATTAAACAGTCATGATTTAACTACTTTTAAAGTACTGATTATTTAGTTTTAAGCAGACACCAGACAGAGATGAAAGGTGAGTGAGATTGTATGTTTCAGATAATGCAGAAGAAAGTGTCGCCGGTTACTTATGCACAGAAGACACGTAAAATGGGACTGGTACACAGAATATCATTAGTTTGTGAAGCTAATCAATGAGAATTTTACAGTTGGAGACTAAAGGATACAATCGAAAAAGATTCACCAACTGGGCTAAGATATTCAACTGTTGACCAGGTTTCAAGCATGAACATCCAGCTGAAATCATCACAGACATGCTTCAATGAGTTTATTCTTTACAAATGGCGACAAACGGCAACAAGTGAAAGATAAAATTCCCGATAAGGAGTCATAGCTTTAAAGGCGATATCCCCGAAACGAGAATCACTTTCTCCAATCCCTTTTTGCGATTAATTCATAGATATTCGGAAACTATTAAGGATAAAATGAAACAATCTTATACTGATCAACATCTACTGTCTTTACCTAAGGCATTGTTAAATACGATAGTCGAAAAATTGTTTGCAAAATATTATGGATCGTTTCACGCCACTTTAAAAGTCTATCAAGCCTAGCACGATTTTCCAATTTAACTGTTGTGACCGGTTATGTGACCTAGCAGTCTACGAGCGATACAAACTTAAAGCGCAAAGATTCTGCTCTAATCCCTAGTTAGCACGTCAACAATGACGATACCATCGGCATGCGAAGACAAGAAGAGAAGACAGATAGTTGACAGAGGGCTTATTCTATTTCAACAGCAGTCGAAACAGTTGAGAGCAATGCTGAATGTAAACATCCTAAACGACCCTGAAGGACACTAAATTCACTGATGAACTAAGAGTTAACAAGCGACGAGAGTTTATGCTTTCGAAGGAGTGGGAAAAAACAAAAGCTAGTAACGGCCACAAGATGAACCGGATACAGTAATAATAAAGTTATTTTAAGGTAATACGCAAAATTACGGGTATGTAACACTGACTACTTGGAAAAAGTATTCAACAAGGAGGTTCAGAGTCACAAATGCTTTTAGTTTGCATCAAAATATATCTCATGATTAATTCAGTCTTCTACAATAAAATGTTAAATTTGTTGGCATAGGGAACACCAACAAGCAGGAAGTTCACACCAAGGACTTCTTGTCAACTCACCTACAAAATCTAACACGAAAATAGGGAGCAATACAGTGTCGTGTCATTTACATCAGTGAACACATCGCTAATTTGATCGATATGCTTCAGTCAGTGCTGAAAACTAAGGAATGAACAACTATATCGGTTACTTGCTGGTGACCAATTCAAGAGAGTCACAATGTTTTACACTCGCCTTTACGTATATATACTCAATGTCTGTCAGTGTGACTGCTTAGATAACAGCGAGCTGTTATGTTGAATTACTTAATTAATGATCAATTAATAATATGAGCACAATGTCGATGACCAATTGTCTAGCAATATTATCCGACTCAATTTTGCTGAGTAAATGTACGTGGTCAGAAATATACTTTTTTACTTCGTTTTATAACATATTGTTACCAACACAATGATGTTTACACCACTGGGTTCAACAACTACTACAGTCTTGTTTAGCTTCTACAGTATTGAAATTTGATTTACAGTACCATTTTTGTTAGTGCAATAACAGAGAACTTATTGAGTCATGGAACATTTAGCCATTTTACTTTCAACCACAGCATTTCAGGTTTTAACTTTGTTTCATCTACCAAAGTTTAAGCTATCAAACAGTAAGTTTTGATACTGTATAAGTGGCTTGTAATTCAGTATATGAACCTGTAAATGGTTGCTGAAACGTACTTCTTATTGATTGATTTAAAGCAGGCACTAGAAGTATAGAAAGCAGCATTTATTAAGTTCGTAAATTTCAGAATTAGTTAATGGGATGTTAATGCCTAGCAACAAAGAGAGGAACCATATTTTACAGACCAAGTGGTGATGAGAAAGGTTCAAGCGAGTCTTTGGATTGAATAGATTAGAAATAAACTATGTCATTTTAAACATAGAAGACAGTAATCAAATCATATGTTGCAATAAGGAATCATGAATGTTTCGGGTGAAAATTTGATGATAACTAAAGTAGTAATCCTGACAATGAAGGTGATAAGGGGGTTGAAGTCAAATTACTTCATCTCGAACAGAACAGTCAGTAATCAGTCTGGTGTGTTTAAAATGATGCAGTATATATTTATTTGATACTATTTAAACCTCGAATTTAACCTTTCGTATTACCACCTGATTTGTAAAAAAAAACGGTTTGCATGTGACTAGATCTCAATCGAAGCCATGCTTTGTATCATTTAAGTATGCATATGTTTTCTGGATTTCATTATGCTATATGTAGTCAAAATCAACACTACGGAAAACCATAAACTTTTATCAATCTCATTCAACAGCTATATGAAAACGCCACATGCCAAGTGATACACAACGGAAAACTCAGTGACGCCTTTGAAGTGAAAACAGAAGCAAGATAAGGTTGCTGCTTACTATCACCGATGATCTTCCTGATTTTGGTCGACTGGATCATGCAGCAAACTGTGAGGAGCGAGAAGATCGGCATACGCTGTCTGATCAGTAAAAAGACCACACAAGAAGATTTGGATTTCGCCGCCTATGATGACTAATGTCTAATGTCTTGTCGCACAGACTCAAAGATCTACACGTAAAAACCAACAAGTTAACAGAAGAAGTAGCAAAAACGGGACTTCCTTCAGGTGAAGGTAGAGAAGAAAGAGGTGATGAAGGTACCCAGTCAACAATAATAACAACAAGCACCAATCACCATCAACAGCAGAAATCTAAACAAAGTTGTCTCTTTCACCTACCTAGACAAGGCAGCATCGTTTCAACTACAGAAGGCATAGGTACAGATGAAGATGTCAAAGCCAGGATCGGAAAGACAACAAGACAGACCTCCATTAATCTGAAATCAGTGTGGAGATCTACTGCACTCAGCATAAAGGGTGAACAACATCCAAATTTTCAACACTAATATCAGTCAAGTCAGTGCTTCCATGTGATGGTTGAGAGACTTAGCGGGTTACGAAAAGTATTTCCAACAAACTGTGGACATTCATCAGCAGCTGCCTACTCTGGCTTGATACTCAAGATCAAAGAGATGTCCTGAAAGAATAAGCAACAAGGAAGTCACTCTGGTCTGGCAACGAACCAACCGAGAACCCATTGCCAACAAATATGTGGCAGAAAGTGGAAATGGATGGTACTGGACATACACTGAGAAGACAGTTTTGGGACATCACGCTCCAGTTCAGGTCGTCGAGTGGAAGGCGAATGGGGAACAACGAGTTTGGCGTGTGAGGCGAGGGTGACATGGAGGAGATGGTGTGAGGAAGAAATGAAAGCTTCTGGGTAGTGGTGAAACCAGGCTGGAAAGATAGCCGAGAACGAAGTGAAATGACGAAACGCTTCGGAAGCTGTATATTCTACCGGGAACGTAGGGGACAAATGATAAATAATAGTAATGTGTAGTCAAATGTTTTCAGGGTATTCAAATGAAAAGTTCTACCGGAATTTTTGAATACCTCTGATCGTACTTTCTTACCTTTTTTACTTGTTTTAAATTCGCAGTAGGAAATAAATATTTTCAGTATTTAGCTTATTATCAGACTTCTAACTTCTGAGGAGAATGAAGCCTGTTCTCTCCAACGAAAACATGAAGTGGGGTGTAGGATTAAAAAACCATTTTAGTAGATCAACGTAAAACCATTTAAATAGCAGTTTTAAAAAAGCTTAAAACTTATCAATAGTTGGCTTATTCATTCGTTGTTCAATATTTCGAAATTTTCAAACTAATTATTGTCAAACGAATTCGAACACTGAGTAAAATGACATTGAATCATAACAGATTAGTAATTTTTATTTGAAAAATTAAACAAGTTTTACAGAAAAAGAACCTCAGAGAAATACATATAATCAATTAAATAACATACTTTGCTTTTTGAATTATAGTTTCCACGCTGAATTCCACAACGTAGAATGCCTTCTTTAGGAGCTTGTACTAAAAGTTGACAATCCAATGAACTAGATGTCTGTTGGATTTGAGAGAATACTTGTTCTAAGGTATGAACTCGAAGACTATTCACTTCAAGTAAAATATCACCTGGATACAAGGAACCTAGATAGTGAAAACAAGGAGCATAAAACGTAAATCAAACTCAAAAGCTTTTTTCTCCCAAAATATACTTAGTGAAAAATGATTCAGAAGTGTTTGAATCATTAAACCAGCATTTCAATAAATGTTGCACACTTAACATTCAAAATAACTGAGTAAAATCAGCTGGAGTTATCTTTGATAGCTACCACCTTGTATCGATTAGTAGAAAGTAGGAGTTTGCATAAAACTAAGCCCCTTTATGACATAACACTTTGAAAGTCGATGATAAGTGAGGGTATCTGACTCCCCTGCGTTCTCTATTACCGAAAATTTGCAAATAGACATCAAATAAATATGAACCCAGGATTTTAGAATATAGCAAACCAATTTGCTTGGTTATGGCTAGCAGAAGCTTCCAGGACGCGCGTTTCGTCAGTTGGATGCACCTGCTTTATTAATATAGGTGTAAAACTCGGGCGCTGTGTTAGAATTTAATTCCATATTAGATTTGTTTATTTGATTCATAACACACAGTGATCTAGTCTTACTTACTTGGTGACGTTTCGAGGATAAATTATTGCTCATGCACCTGCACCTCAGTGAGTGATGTTGTTCCCACTGAGACTCGAACCTTGTGCCCATCGCTTCGAACGCCAGGGCCTTATCCACTTTACCACGGGGGATGATGACCACTTCTTGTACAATGGGTAATAGTTACCACCATTTATTGGCATACTTGGAATTCTCCGTTTTTTTATTGGATCGGACTGTTCGACCTCTATTGGCATGTGGGCTCCTATGCGGATGCCTCGATATTGCCTGAATGTTAATAAAAGTAATTTGTTTGGTTGCGACTAGTAGAGGTATCTAGAATGTGCGTTTCATCCTGTTTAGGACTCAGCTGAATGTGCCTACACTTCAGTGAGTGATATTGTTCCCATGTGCCAAAGGAGGTCGAACAATTCGATCAAATAAAACAACGGAGAAATCCAAGTATGTCAATAAATAGTGGTAACTACTACCCACTGTGCAAGAAGTGACTATCGTCAACCCGTCGTATAGTGGATAACGCCTTGGCGTTCAGAGGGATGGGTACGAGGTTTGAGTCTCGAAGGGAACAACACCACTCACTGAGGTGCAGGTGCACCCAGCTGATGAGTCCTAAATAGGACGAAACGCACATTCTAGATTCTTCTGCTAGCTACAACCAAACAAACTACCTTTATTAACATTCAGGCAATATTGAGGCTTCCGCATAGGAGCCCATATGCCAATAGAGGTCGAACAGTCCGATCTAATAAAACAACGGAGAATTCCAAATATATCAATAAATAGTAATACCAAAGCAATGCTTATACTTTTGTGATACCAAAAGAGTTCTCCAATGATATGTTTGGTTGTAATAGTGTAATGATGCTGAAACAGTTTATGAAACATAAATAATATACGGATATATCAGTGGGTTTAAACAGAGCTCCAACTACCGAGGTTCAGGCAGCCAACTAGTATTGTTGGCCTTCACATAACAAGTCTGGCTGGTCGCTTACTGCACGAATGGGCATACGTTTGCTTAGTGAATTTCAATTTTTGTTCGATCTCGACATTAGTAATATTTTATCCAAGATATCTAAGGAAATAAGTGAAGAGTAAACTGTTATCCCTGCTCATAGTAGTCAGGTTTATTGATCGACAGATAAAGATGTTTAGTGTTATATATAACCTGGAACAGGTTCATGTAATATAGGCCATGAGCAAAACTTTATGTCCAGTGATTAGTGATGCTATCCGGTTGCTAAAGGTGAAGTAAGTGAAGCAGCGCTTAAATTTAAGACACACAGTCACGCACACTACTGATGATTATTGAGGTTGGTGTAGACATTTTGCTGTGATTAGTGTGAAAGTAGAATTTGGTCTCTTGGTTTGAGTGAAACACTATATAAACTTTGTTAACAAAGGTGTAGCACATAATGATATCAGATTTATTATTTTTTTAAAAATTAAACGTTGTTACTAGGTCTTACAGTCGAACAAAATGTTGATAGAGTCTTCTTGATTTTCTTTAGTTACGTGAACGACAAAAACTAGAAGTGATACATAAATATCAGTCAACATTTCATGAATATTAAGTAAAGTATATACTTTCGCAATAATTTTTACAGGCCTACTTTTGCATATATACAGTTGTTTACCTAACAGCTGGAAAGAAGGGAATAAATATGAATATTTGTGAATTGATAAACTTATTTAGAATAGAAAAAAAAACACACCTACAACGACAATGCCATGTGTGAAGTAACTACAGATTAATACAAAAATCAGTGAACAGTTTTCTTTCTTTTAAGAATAGTACAGAGTTTGTCATGAAATACATGTGAGAACTCTTATGTATGTAATCAATCTTAATTTCAAAGGGTTTATTCTTGACCGAAAGTGTATAATATATAAAAATGCTTTAGATTTATGTAGATAACAGAAAAACAAGCTGATTAAAAAAAAATCGATTCCCTATATAATAATTATCAATGAAGGAATAGAAAACCAAATAAAATAACACGACATCAATTAGGGAGAAGAACTGATTGATTTTAAAGTACTCTAATGCTAAATGTTATAGGGTCAATCGGTTGAAAACACTGAACGTAGGTTCCATGCTTATTGGTATTCATCCGCAAGGAGTATCTCCAATCATGAAAAAAACTGGTGTTTATTCGGTGATTCAAACCTACATCGCTAAACGCTGAAGTCAGAGACTTTACCACTGCTATACAAGCCACGACAGATATCCTGTAGAATTACTGTATTAAGTCCTTTAAGTCATTAGTGACAAGTTCTGATCGAAGTCTACCAATCAGTGTACTTATCATGAATTGATATCAGTTAAAAAACAACTGTTATTCATGAAAACTTTGAAATCAATCGATTCCCTATCAAATATGCAATTCAATAACAATCAAGTGTTGATTGTTTCGACTTAATGTTATGAGACAAAATTGTAAGCTTTGGAGTCAACCAATTATAGTATGATAACAAATACTTGCCAATGACACTGGATCATAAAATTTAGTTTGGAGGTTTATGAAAATTGATTTATTGATTTAAGGTTGATATTGTGAAGATTGATCTATTGATTTCAGGTTGATAACATGGACTAATATCAGTTGAAGAACCATTGGGAATCTGGGAGCACTGGCCAGCTGTTTCGTCCTAGTACAGAGAGAGTTTAACCTCACATGAGCTTTTGGGTTCACACTGAATCATATTATATATATATATATATATATATATATATATATATATATATATATATATATATATATATATATATATATATATTAGATCAAGTGAGATAACTTTCACTTTCATGCTTGCATTTTTGTCACGAATACGACAGTTTGAAGAGGTGCTTAAAAATATGCGACAGTGAAATACGAGGAACTCTAATGGTTGGTACACAGTCAGGCTTTTCATTTTAAAACCTAGAATTTATCATCTCGACTTAACACAAAAAGTCTGTTAGAATCTACGGAATTCAGCGACTTCAAATTTTATTACGCCATAGTGATAAAAGCGTATATCACACATTACAAAGTTGTCTCAGGGACAGTATTCAATGAGAAAGTCTCTGTTAGTATAACATCTACTGATATTAAAAAATTTTCAGTTCGGTATACACGATACCATGGGCTGACCCTTTCAAAAACTCTTAAATCGACCACCACCTGCACTTCGTTCAGAAATACCACAAGCAGCCCGGCCACACAACTATCAGTGAACCAAAATCCCCCAACAAAAGTCGAAGTCCGGAATGCCATAAGGCTACTAAAAATACGGAAGGCAGCAGGACCAGATGAAATTCCTCCAGAAGCACTCAAAACAGACTCACAATCATCAACGAACATGCTCACACCACTTCTGAAGAAGGTCTGCAAAAAAGAAGGGAAGGTACCTGCAGATTGACTGGAAGAAGGGATACCTTGTCAAACTCCCAAAGATAAGCGACTTAAATCTTTGCAAGAAATGGTGCGGAATCACGCTCCTCTACACACCAAACAAAATATTAAGTCGCATCATACTCGACAGACTAAAGAATGCACTGGATTCAAAACTATGACCACAACAGGCTCGATTCAGGAACTACAAATCATGTACCGACCAAATTGAAACCTCACACATCATCATTGAACACACTATAGAATGCCAGTCAACTAAACTCCACCTCAACTTCATCAACTTTTTGAAAACGCATTCGACAGCATCCAACCACAAGTAATTTGCTAGGCAACTGCTTCAACACTACCACAAACCTTTATCTGTCTCATTCAACAACCATATGAAGACACAACATGCCAGCCAAGTAATTCACAATGGGAAGCTCAGTAATGCATATGGAGTGAAAGTGAAGACAGGGGTAAAACAAGGCTGCCTACTATCACACATGGTATTCCTGATTCTGGTCGACTGGATCATGCAGCAGACAACTGTGAGGAGCGAGAACAGGGTGATACGCTGGACCGGGGAAAAGAACCTACAAGATTTCGATTTCACCGATCACCTGTGTCTAATGTCACACAAACTTGAAGACATACAGCCAGAATCCAACGAGTTGACAGAAGAGGCAGGGCAGCGAACACGGAACTTCCTTCAGGTGAAGGCAGACAAGACAGAGGTGATGAAGATACCCAACCAACAACACCTCCACCACCACCACCAACAACAACAACAACCTCCAATCACCATCAACGGGAGAAACTTAAACCAAGTAGTCTCTTTCACCTATCCAGGTAGCACTGTTTCAACTACAGGCGAAACAGGCACAGATCACGACGTCAAAGCCAGGATCGGAAAGACAGCAAGACAAGCCTTCATTAACCTGAAACCAGTGTGACGGTCTTCTGCACTCAACATAAAGTGTGAACAACATCCGGATTTTCAACACCAATTCAGTCAAGTCAGTGATCCTATATGGTTTAGAGACTTGGCGCATTACTAAAAACATCTCCAACAAACTACAGACATTCATC